TGAATTGATGGAACTGTACAAAAAAAAAAAAAAACAAGCCACACAAACAATTCGATATGGTAGGCTACTTTGGTGTCCTATCATTAAATAAATAAATCCTTAATTTAAAAATAATAATAATTCTACATTGTAAATAAATGCCAATTATGACTTACTTTTAAACTTGGTACTACATTTTAATATGATTACACAACATATAACGATCAGGCAAATGAGCGTGGTTATGTTTAACAATAATTCAGTCAAATATTATAAATACTGATTTCTTACCTGTAATTGCGTCTGACAATATGCCCAAATCGAGCTTACTCATCGCATGATCATTTCGGTTGCAAAAGCAGTCCAAATGATGGTATTGAACAAGATCAGTTGGATTCAGGATCAGTTTCCAGGTGGCAGTTACAGCGCAAGCAGGTTTATGGGCATCTCAGTGACTTGGACATCATGCCTTAAGATTTCAACATTGTATTTCGATGACCAACAACCAGATCAAAACTAGGCAGGTCCTGCGAAACTGCTTCCCAATCCTCAATTGTGCGCTTCGCTCGTTTTCTCCGTGTGCGCGCACTTAAAAGTAATGATCAAAGATTACAATTTTATGTTTTTTTCTTTTCTATTAGATCACCGCAAGATCTACTGCTCAAAAGTATTCAGAACAGTGACAATTATAGATCCTTAGACAATTAGTAAAATCCTTCAGAATCTTTTCTAAAGGTGCAAGCAGTGGGATTACTATTAAAAGGATTTGTTATAATCTTTGTCATGCCTTTGTCTCCCTAACAGCAGTATCGTGACAAGTATATGTTAACTTTGACAGCCCCAAAAAATGGCTTTTGTAAACGGTTTTTAAAATGTTACAGCCCCGTGTCCCCCTAAGGACCCCCTGCCATTGTTAATTATTTCTGACTGTCCTGCAACAGGAATTTAAAACGTTTAATGTTCCTTTCTTAGATTGGTACTTTTCATAAAACTTAAAGAGGTCATATGATGTTATTTTAAAGATCATTATTTTGTGTATTTGGTGTAACAGAATATGCACCACTATGAACAATATAAAACGTTGGATTTTAAACATTATTCAGTATAATGTGGATGTGGCATTTTAAAAGTTTCTTATTATACACAGACAAACTAAAAACTCATGTAGATTCTTTGTACACTGTAAAAAAAAAATTAAAAAAAAGATGTCATGCCATCATGTTTTTCCATTTTTTTAACTCAACAGATTAATTTAACCAATTTCAACATCTTTTTTTAAGTTACAGGATTCATCTCGATTTTTTTTAAAGGGATAAGGCACCCAAAATGAAAATTTTGTTGTTTACTCACCCTCAAGTTGTTCTGTAAATCTGTATCAGTTTCTTTCTTTGGCTGAACACAAAAGAAGATATTTTAGTTTAATAGTTTCTGTTCCCTGTTGACTTTCAAAGTATTTTTCCATAAGTCAGCAGGGACCCGCAAGTGTTTAGTTTCAAGTGTTTAGGTTGAGTGAATGATGACAAAATTTTCATTTTTGGGTGAACTATCCCTTTAAGACAGTTTAATATAATGACTATAGTTTAATATAAATGACTTTTACAGCCAATTTGATTCTAATAAAAAAATGTAAGGCAGTAACTGAGTTTTTAAGTAGGTGGAAATGTTAAAGTCTAGTCTACATGGCCAGAGGTCGAATTATCGTTTTAAAAAATATTTTCCTTGATTACAATGTACTTGACACTATACGATTTAATGAGATGAAAAGCTGGAATGGGGGAACATATGAAAAGTTACAGTACTTAAAACATCCTTGTTTTTGTGTATTCTACAATTTAAACAGGATGAATGTGTCCTTCCAAATAACTTTTTCTATTTCTAATAATTTCTATGTTTAACATACAATAACAGTTCAGTACATTATCTAGTACTTTTTCATTTATTAGTGCTAGTCATTTATTATCAAGTCATTGCAGATAAGAACAACTAAAGATAACTGGATGTTTAGTAAAATATTTTAAATGTTGTTCCAGAGGTATGAAGCTCCACAGTACTTCACAGTGTGTGGCTGCACATTATGAAACACCTTGAAACACAGAGGTAGAATGTCTTTAATCGTGTCTATAAAATATGATCAACTGTAAAAGACCCACTTTCTGCACAGCATTGCTCTACTTTACATTGAAACTTGTGCAATAGCATGTAAGAGTGGGTAAACCAAGTCTCCCTTCACTGCCACCCAGGGGCGTAGCCATCATTTCAGAAGTGAGGGGGACAGAAATGTTATATATATATATAAAAAAATAAAAAATACAAATCACACCGGCTCTTGAAAACCTCTATGCGAACACACTTGCCCGAAAAAGTGCGGGGGACGAATTTACATGATATTAAAAGTGGGGGGGACACGTCCCCCGCGTAATCTACGCCCCTGCTGCCACCTACGGTAAAACAATAAAAACACATCAAGGAGCGCACAGAGAAAAAAATGTAATTGAGAAAATACAATATTGATGCAATACAGTTTCGCCAGCTGCAATAGAAATAAGTGATATGTTGTAAAACATGATTTAAATGGAAAAGAAAACAATATTACCACAGAAATATGAATTAATCCCAAAGTTTCTTCAGAAATGTGCAACTAGAAAAAAATGATATTAAAAACTTCTTATTGTGTAAAAAGGGCTATCTGTCAATTTTATTTTATTTTTATTTTATATTTTTATTTATTTATTTATTTTTGGTCAGAATATATTCTATCCTATAAAATAAGGCAAGATGAAACTTTAATTTTAACAATTTAGAATATAGCAATTAACCAATTTAAACCAATTTGCTGAACATAAGAAAACTGACACTGAAAACCTGTAATGATTCAACTTGTGTCTGTCTGTAAAAACAAGTCAATAATCTGCTTCCCCAACTGAATTTTCAATCAAATTAAGTGATTAAACCCTTCAATTCCAATGACCAGTTACTAGGTTATGCTAAAGTCATTTTATTGCACTCTGTCCAGCAAAGGTAATTATATATTGATTAATGGATTACAGCATTCAACGGTGAAAGCCTGGCATACATATCTGGAATAGAGTATGCCATTAAGAGGATATAATGTTCATGCTTTTGCGTAGCATTTGAATTTATAACTGGTGAAAGCTTATGAACTCCAGACAATCTAATTCTAACATTTTCACTACTTTTTGGTCTACACCATTAATTTTACGGACATTTCTGTTTACTCTAAAACACAATGCAATAAAGTGTAAAATTCAAAATACTGGTAAAACACCTGTAAAAAATAAATACAGAAAAATTCCATCAAATTATACAGTATACTGTGCCTTTCACTGATTTTTTTAGAGTGTACAGCCACTTATGTCAAGATATTATGTGGTTTAGAAGAATTCATGAAATGCACAGACAGAAACTTTATAATTAATGCAACTGCTTGCAAATATTTAACAAGGAAAATATGTTTTGTAATTTATGGGATTTATTTCCTATATATTCCAAAATATAATCAATAAACGAATTAATGAATAAAGTGTTAAAATATAGAAGAACATAATTACAGACTGCAATAGAATGACTTGATGCAATATGTAATTATTAATGCATCACCTTGGAGTCTAATTTCTCTTTTATTGTTTAATTTTTGTGTTAATTAAGATATGCTTGATATAAAGCATTTTTGTTTAGTTTTGTTTGTGGCACAGAAATAGGGGTGAGAGCCCTCAAAGCACTCTCTTTCATCTTCCTCTTTTGAGTTTCCTCCAGACGTCATTAGTAGAAGATCTTGGCTGTAATGGGCTGTGCAGTCGGTGTTCCCCTCTGGAAGAACAGGTCCTGCCAGCAACTTTGCTAAAGTTCCGTCCTGATCCACTGGGGGCGAGGAGAGAGTTATCACAGGCTCTGAAATTAGAGGTCAGTATCTAAAACTGATCACCCTTTTTTAGGAACATTACTTAAAAAAAATATTTTTGTAATCCGTTTAAAAATTAATTCTACAATTGATATCATCAAAAAAAAACTAAATTTCTTCTGCCTTCTGGCAGAACAAAAATATTGAAATACACCTCACTCTATTCAAACAGTCTCCAATAAATCTTTGTCATTGTAAATTCACTCAAAACACATGGAAAAGAAAGGTTTTTTTTCATAAACTCATTTGATTGTAATGACAGAATATATTTTTGTTTGACAATTTTTCCATATTATGTCTCAAATATTTGGCTTGCATTAAAGGAGAATCAAATATATAAACCATATGCTTTGGCAAGACCACGACAAAATGGAAAATATTTAATTTCAGAGTTCTGACTTTGTGTATCTTTGTGTAAGGTTACCCACTATAAATGCTAGATTTAGTTAGTTAGTTATTCGTTCATTCTCTGATAGTCACCATAGCCTAGATATTAAAGATTTAATATTAAGAATATCTAAATATACCCACCTTACAGTTTGGCCATTATTGTAGCCTATAGCTTGTCAACTGATTTATTTCTCCTTGTCAAAAATGTCAAATCTGTCTCATCAGTTTTTTCCTCCAAATCCAATTTGAGATTTAGATGATGAGTCTGGTAACCCTAGTGAGAACTGCAGAGCCATCTATGACAGCAAGAGCACAGGAGTGAGCAGGAGAAAACTGTGTGTGTGGCTGGGTTTTCCTAACCTTTGACCTCTGTCTTTCCTTTCTCCTCACTGCTTGACTGAAGCTGAGCTTCTCACCAAGAGGGCTCAGCTGGGCTTTA